TGAAAGAAAAAGGATTACGGATAACCAAAGAGTTGAGAGCTGAGTGTCGTGGTTTGTATATGAACCCCCACCCCCACCCCTCCGCCGCTGCCCAGGCTTATGTGCTTGAACCTGATCACTAGGCAAGAGATGCTGTTATGGGAAGATATGGAACCTTTGGAGCTGGGGCATGGCTGGTTACGGGAAGGCAAACTTTTGAGGGTTATAGTCCAGCCCCACTTCCAACCCATGATTGCTGAGTACAATACACTATGAGTCAGTAGTGCTGACAAGCTCCCACTGCCCTACACCAAACATGTCCATGATCCCACACCATGGTGAACTGTTCTCTTTGAACTGTGAGCCAGAGTAATCATCTTATATTGTTTCTATCAGGCATTTGGTCACAGCAATAAAAAAATCTAAAGTAAAGTTGTCATCAGCTGAGATGGTGAGAATTTCAAGGGAGCAGGGTATTTTTTTTTCCTTGTTGTTGTTTAGGTTTTTGAGATAATCTTCCCATGTAGCCCAGGCTGGAACTCTTGACCTTCTTGTCTCTACCTCTCCTTCTAAGTATATGGTCCCATGACTGGCCTAGAAAGCAGATTTTGACAAGAGGCCAATTTTACTTTGCATTTTGGGTTTGAGATGTCTACATGTACATTCAGGTAAGGATGACAAGTGAATGTGTAGAGCTGGGCCTCAAGAGTTGAGTCTAATTGTATACAGATCTGGAATTATGCACATAAATATATTGCCTTTAAAGTAATGAGAGGAAGAGACCAAAGGAAAGCTTAGTGATGGAGATCCCTCTTCCAGTAAAACAGAGACCTTCGGGGGAACTTGGACTATGCTTTAGGATTTACTGTGTTCTAAGTATATGACTCAACCTTGGATAGACGCTTTGTTTCAGGACTTTTTACCTGCAAATCTCACCTTAATGAAGACAGATGGAAGACCAAAACCTCAAAATTAATTAATTAATTAAACATACACCCAACCTACATAGTGCACTGCAGTGCATTCTCATAGCCTTTGTTCTGACCTGGCCACATGTCAATAAAGCCAGCAGCTTTATTGAGAGGGGAAAGCCGTCAGTCTTCCAGCACTCTTAACGGCTTTCACATGGGAGAAGCCTAGTCAATGCAGTCAGAATTGAGGCTATGGTAAGCACAAGACTATACCCAGTGCTGAAGGGAAATGAGGCCTCTGTGCTCTGTACACTTGGATTCTCAAGAGACTCTGGAACTCCACATCTAGCTTTGGACTCACACAGGAAAGATGTTGCCTCATAAATACCAGAGTTTTTCTGTCATCTAAATTCATTTTTGTGAATTCATTTTATGAGTTGGTAGACTTAAGATAGGGACTCAGGAGATGATAGGACCTATTGTCCTAATTTCCCTAATTAAGGCTATCAAGTTCCCACATCATTGTCAACTAGCTCAGCCCACAAGCTTGACAGAGAATACTTATAGCTAAGTCCCTTTCAGTGCTCTCCTACCTGGCCACATTCTAAAACCAGCAAATAAATAGCATTCAGTAAGTCCAAAGTAGGTTTGGGAGAAATTAACATTCAGAACATCCTACTTAGGACTATCCCTTTGTTCATGCCCGAAAAGTAGAGAATATTAAATGGCCAAGACATTTTCTAATCAAACACTAACTTACATCACTAGAATTCAGTGTGCACAAGATCAGTTAACAGAACAGGCTGTCCATCTGTCAGAGTGTGGACGGAGCACTTGACACTGTCAACTCAAACCAGTTAACATGCACAAATGCTTGGGGAATGTGTGCACCCAGGTCAGCAGTATCCTTGGCTGAATTTCAAAGGACACAGTTGCTGTTCCAGGCTGGGGTTCAGAATCAAATTATCCATCCTGGGCCCACAGGTGCTACTGCCAGGTATTAATGCCCTTTCCGAGATATTTCACAACTCATAACATGACTAGTATTTTAAAAGGTTACAAGTGCAGTTATTTCAAGACCACCTTTAAAAATTAGCAGTACTGCCAGGCAGTGGTGGCGCAAATTAGCAGTACTGCCAGGCAGTGGTGGCGCACGCCTTTAATCCCAGCACTTGGGAGGTAGAGGCAGGTGGATTTCTGAGTTCGAGACTAGCCTGGTCTACAGAGTGAGTTCCAGGACAGCCTGGGCTATAAGTGAAACCCTGTCTCAAAAAACAAAACAAACAAACAAAAAAAAATTAGCAGTACTTAACAAAGTCTATAAAGAATAATGTTCTAACTTCCAAGTCAGGCTTTTAACCTATGAGTGAATTTGTAGAACTGCCAACTTAAGCTTACTAGTTATTTGTTACATCCAAAGCTCAAACCCTGAAACATAATAGTGGTTAAAAATGGCTGAGTTCAGCTAAGGCCCTGGATCCCTCCATAAGTGCTCCCAGGCTGGTGGTTTAGACCCTGGGAGCTGTGGTTGGTTGGTATTGTTGCTCTCCTCATGGGGCCACAAATCCTTTCAGCTCCTTCAGTCTTCACTCTAACTCCTCCATTGAGAACCCCATGATCACTTCAATGGCTAGTTGTGAGCATCTGCCTCTGAATATGTCAGACTCTTGAAGACCTCTGAGGAGACATCCATATCAGGCTCTTATCAGCATGCACTTCCTGACTTCCACATCAGCATCTACCTTTGGTGACTGCACATGGGATGGATACTCAGGTGGAAAGGTCTTCAGACGGCCCCTCCTTCAGTTTTTGTCCCTCGCTTTGTCTCCATATTTGCTCCCTTGAGTATTTTGTTGCTCCTTCTAAGAAGGACCGAATCACCCCCACTTGGTCTTCATTCTTTATGGACTTCATGTGGCCTGTGAGTTGCATCTTGGGCATTTTAAGGTTCTGGGCTAATATCCAATAATCAGTGAGTGAATACCATGTGTGTTCTTTTGTGATTGGCTTACCTCACTCAGTATGATAATTTCTAGTTCCATCCATTTATCTAGGAACCTCTCAAATTCATTGTTTTTAATAGCTGAGTAATACTCCATTGTGTAAATATACCACATTTTTTTAATCCATTCCTCAGTTGAAGGACATCTGGGTTCTTTCCAGCTCCTGGCTATTATAAATAAGGCTGCTATGAACATAGTTGAGCATATGTCCTTATTATATGTTCGAGCACCTTCTGGGTATATGCCTAGGAGTGGTATAGCTGGATCCTCGGGTAATGCTATGTCCAATTTTCTGAGGAACCGCCACACTGATTTCCAAAGTGGTTGAATATATAAGAGTGGAGGGCCCTGCTGGGCATAGGTGGAAGATGAGATCCTTGACCTCATGAAGGCTGGACGCCCCAGGGGGTGGGAGTTTTGAGGGTGGGGATGTGGGAGTGGGGGGGTAGATAGAGGTTACATCCACAAAGAAGAAGGAGGAGGTGTGAGGGGATTGGGGGTTCCTGGGTGGGTGGGGGATGGGGTAAGGGGACAACATATGAAATGTAAATAAAACATCCAATAAAAAAATTAAAAAAAAAATGGCTGAGTTGAGAGAACAAGCCATAGAACATGAGAACTACTTGAGAAAGACATGTTGGATTGTTACTCCAAATACAGAGCCCTGAACAGATATCCCACCAAAGATGGAAATGAGGATGCACAGCAACCCAGCACTAAGGAAGTGCTGATTAAAGGAAGGGGATACCCCATACTCATGACCAGGACCAGACCCCACATCTAGACATCAAACTCTGCTGAGGGCATGGAGCCACACAAATGCTCATCCAGTGCCACAAGCTTGGCAGGTGCTCACGAATCTAAATAGAATCTGCCCACGAAAAGTAGATGAAAATTGACACCATATGAAAACCTGCACAGAAATGTTTATAGCAGCTTCATTCACAATTGTCAAGACTTAGAAGCAACCAAGATGGGTGTCAGCACAATGGATGGCTCATGGCACATCCAATGGATGCTCTGTGTGGGAAAAAGAAAAAAGCTACTGTCAAAAGGCACAGAGAAATAAAGTCCAGCTGAAAGGCTATTATAGTTGGATCTCACTTTTACTAGGAAAAGAACAGGACACAGAGAAGAGCAGGGTCTCCCCAGAGTAAGGGACAAGATCATTCTGTAAGATAAATACCTGCATCAGATATGTCAAAGCCCACATAGTATATGTACCCAACATTATGAATTTGTAGTGTAAGCTCACGGATTGTAACAGAAGGTACCACTGTGCTGTGGGATGCTGATGATGGCAACAACAAAGGTGACGGCAGCTGCCTGTGACAGGAAGTAAAGGACACAGAAGCTCTGTATTTTCTGCTTAATTTTGTTGTGGATCTAAATTGCTCTGAAAAACGGTAGTCTATACAACCATTTTAGAAACTAATACTGTGTTAATGCAAGGTGAAGTTGCATATATTTGGAAATATTTGAGAATAGTATTTCAAATTCTGGTTTGGGAATAGTTGTACATATACACTGTGATTCTTATAAGGTTCTGGTTTTGATCCCCAACATAAAGTATGTGTGGAGGGAGAGGTAAAAAGAGGAAGACAGGATCATACACTGAGGCCACATTTGTAACAATCCATTACCAAAAAGCACTCAATAATGGCATACCTTAACTATAGAAATTATATTACAAACTCCAGCACAATATTTAGAACACCAAACCCTATATGTACTATGAAGAGTCACAGGTAGAACTGAAAAAGCCACTTGCATAATGAATACTATAGATGGTATCATGGCTGTAGACAATTAGGACATTTACTTACAATTGGGGGGGTGATGGTGGTGGCGAGACAGTGTTTGTGTAGACTTGGCTGTCCTAGAACTAGTTCTGTAGACCAGGCTGGTCTCAAAATTACAGAGATCCACCTGCCTCTGCCTCTCGAGTGCTGGGATTAAAGGTGTGAGCCTGTTTACAGTCCTCAGTCCTTTGAAAATCTAATTGTTTAACTTTATTTTACTAAGGTCTATTCTTAATCCAGTTTTTCTAAGAATTTTTCTATCATGCCAATAACACATTTGATTGAAGAAAACAACTGTACAACTCTGGAAGTGTGGTAAACTTTATTTACAGAGATCTTCAACATCCCAGCTATCATCCACTGCTTCAAATGTTAAATGTTAGCAGACAGATATACAGGAAAGCATAAAACAAAAGCACAACCCTATAATTTAATATACACAGTGCTATGAGTGGTCTACTTTACAGCCTTCTTTTGAGGATAATCTACTGTGGTTTTTTGTTTTTTTTTCCTTAACTGATAAAATCCAGGTGAAGTTGTTTCCAACTGGTGGATTTCCTGAGAGATTCAAGAGTATAGCAGACAAAGAACTTTAGTGTTTTTGGTTTGCGCGTAGCTGTGCATTACTTTCTTTCTCTCTTTTTGTCAAAACTCTTGGATGATGAAGAATCTTGACTTTCGCCACAATTATAACGTTCATACAAAGTCTGAAATTAAAAACACAAATTTGTCTTTCAACTTTTTAGTTCAATGTATTATTAAACTAGTAAAGATAATGATATATTCTAAATATAAAGAAATGCAGCTTAGCCCCGCCTTGTCCTTTGGGCTGGGACAGACACCTAGCTGGTCTGCTCCTGTGGAGACACCGTATCCTGAGCCATCCTAGAGGAGCCACTGCACTCAGAGTAGTGGACACCTAGCTAGTCTGTTCCTGTGAAGACACCATACCCTGAGCTATCCTAGAGGAACCACTGCACTCAGAGCAGCAGGATTTCAGGATCCTAGAGGCGGCCTGACTCCCAGGAGTTCTTCCATCCAGGAGCTTAGGATCACAGAGTTCTGACACAAGCAAGATAACTGGAAAGACAGACTCCAGTCAGACACAGTGAGTGCAGGTAACACTAGAATTAACCAGATGGCAAAAGGCAAGCACAAGAACATAAGCAACAGAAACCAAAGTTACTGTTCTTCATCAGAACCCAGTTCTCTGATCATAGCAAGCCCTCGACACCCCATAACACCGGAAAAGCAGGATTCAGAATTAAAATCACTTCCCATGATGATGATAGAGGATTTTAAGAAGGACATAAGTACTCCCTTAAAAAAGTACAGGCGAACACAGGTAAACAGGTAGAAGCACTTAAAGAGGAAACAGAAAAATCCCTTAAAGAATTGCAAGAAAACACAACCAAACAGGTGAAGGAATTAAACAAAACCATTCAGGATCTAAAAATGGAAACAGAAACAATAAAGAAATCACAAAGGGAGACTACCCTGGAGATAGAAAGCCTAGGAAAGAGATCAAGAGTCATAGACGAAAGCATCACCAACAGAATACAAGAGATAGAAGAGAGAATCTCATGTGCAGAAGATACCATGGAAAACATTGACACAACTGTCAAAGAAAATGCAAAATGCAAAAAGCTCCTAACCCAAAACATCCAGAAAATCCAGGACACAATGAGAAGACCAAACCTAAGGATAGTAGGTATAGATGAGAGCGAAGATTCCCAACTTAAAGTACCAGTAAATATCTTCAACAAAATTATAGAGGAAAACTTCACTAACCTAAAGAACAAGATGCCCATAAACATACAAGCCTACAGAATGCTAAATAGACTAGATCAGAAAAGAAATACTTCCTGTCACATAATAATCAAAACATCAGATGCACAAAACAAAGAAAAAAATACTAAAAGCAGCAAGAGAAAAAAAAAGGTCAAGTAAAATATAAAGGCAGACCTATAAGAATTACACCAGACTTCTCACCAGAGACTATAAAAGCCAGAAGAACCTGGACTGACATCATACAGACCCTGAGAGAACACAAATGTCAGCCCAGACTACTATACCCAGCAAAGCTCTCAATCACTATAGATGGAGAAACCAAGATACTCCATGACAAAACCAAATTTGCACAATATCTTCCCACAAACCCAGCACTTCAAAGGATAACTGATGGAAAATGCCAACACAAGGAAGGAAACTACAACCTAGAAAAAGCAAGGAAGTAATCTTCCAACAACCCCAAAAGAAGATAGCTACACAAACATAATTCCACCTCTAATAACAAAAATAACAGGAAGCCACAATCATTTTTCCTTAATATCTCTTAACATCAATGGATTCAATTCTCCAATAAAAAGATGTAGACTATCATCAGACTGGATACACGAACAGGACCCAGAATTTTGCTGCATACAGGAAACGCACCTCAGTGACAAAGACAGACACTACCTTAGAGTAAAAGGATGGAAAACAATTTTCCAAGCCAATGGTCCCAAGAAACAAGCTGGATTTTAATATCAAATAAAATCAACTTTTAACCAAAAGTAATCAAAAAAGATAAGGAAGGACACTTCATACTCATTAAAGGAAAAATCTACCAAGGTGAACTCTCAATTCTGAACATCTATGCTCCAAATGAAAGGGCACCTACATATACAAAAGAAACTTTACTAAAGCTCAAAACACACATTACGCCTCACACAATAATAGTGGGGGATTTCAACACCTCACTCTCAGTAATGGACAGATCATGGAAACAGAAACTAAACCGAGACACTTTGAAATTAACAGAAGTTATGAACCAATGGACTTAACAGACATCTATAGAACATTTCATCCTAAAACAAAAGAAGATACCTTTTTCTCAGCACCTCATGGTACCTTCTCAAAAACAGACCATATACTTGGTCACAAAACAGGCCTCAACAGATACAAAAAGATTGAAATAATCCTTTGCATCTTATCAGATCACCATGGACTAAGCCTGGTCTTTAAAAATAACAAACACAATGGAAAACCCACATGTATGTGGAAACTGAACAACGCTCTACTCAATGATGACTTGGTCAAGGAAGAAATAAAGAAAGAAATTAAAAACTTTTTAGAATTTAATGAAAATGAGGACATCCTACCAAAACTTGTGGGACTCCATGAAAGCTGTGCTAAGAGGGAAACTCATAGCTCTAAATGCCTACAAAAAGAAACTGGAGAGAGCATACATTAACAACTTGACAGCACACCTGAAAGCTCTAGAAGAAAAAGAAGCAAATACACACAAGAGGAGTAGAAGGCAGGAAATAATCAAACTCAGGGCTGAAATCAACCAAGTAGAAACAGAAAGAACTATATAAAATATCAAAAAAAACCAGGGGCTTGTTCTTTGAGAAAATCAACAAGATAGATAAACCCTTAGCCAGATTAACCAGAGGGCACAGAGACAGTATCCAAATTAATAAAAATCAGAACTGAAAAGGGAGACAGAACAACAGAAACTGAGGAAATTTAAAAAAATCATCAGATCCTACACTCAACAAAACTGGAAAATCTGGATGAAATGGACAATTTTCTAGACAGATACCAGGTACCAAAGTTAAATCAGGAGCAAATAAACCATCTAAACAGTCCCATAATGCCTGAGGAAATAGCAGCAGTCATTAAAAGTCTCCCCACCAAAAAAAGCCCAGGACCAGATGGTTTTAGTGCAGAATTCTATCAGACTTTCAAGGAAGACCTAATACTAATTTTCTTCAAACTATTCCACAAAGTAGAAACAGAAGGAACACTACCCAATTCGTTCTATGAAGCTACAATCACACTCATACCCAAACCCCACAAGGACCCCACAAAGAAAGAGAACTTCAGGCCAATCTCCCTTATGAATATCAATGCAAAAATACTCAATAAAATTCTAGCAAACCGAATCCAAGAACACATCAAAACAATCATCCATCATGATCAAGTAGGCTTTATCCCAGGAATGCAGGGATGGTTCAATATTCGGAAATCCATCAATGTAATCCACTATATAAACAAACTCAAAGAAAAAAACCACATGATCATCTCACTAGATGCTGAGAAAGCATTTGACAAAATTCAACATCCCTTCATGGCAAAAGTCTTGGAAAGATCAGGAATTCAAGGCCCATACCTAAGCATAATAAAAGCAATATACAGCAAACCAGTAGCCAACATCAAAATTAAATGGAGAGAAACTTGAAGCAATCCCACTAAGATCAGGGACTAGACAAGGCTGTCCACTCTCTCCCTACCTATTCAACATAGTACTGGAAGTCCTAGCCAGAGCAATTAGGCAACAAAAAGAAGTCAAAGGGATACAAATAGGAAAGGAAGAAGTCAAAATATCGCTATTTGCAGATGATATGATAGCATACTTAAGTGACCCTAGAACTTCCACCAGAGAACTCCTAAACCTGATAACTTCAGCAAAGTTGCTGAATATAAAATTAACTCAAACAAATCAGTAGCCTTCCTCTGCGTGAAAGATAAAACAGGCTGAAAAAGAAATTAGGGAAATGACATCCTTCACAATAGTTGCAAATAATATAAAATACCTTGGTGTGAATCTAACCAAGCAAGTGAAAGACCTGTATGACAAGAACTTCAAGTCTCTGAAGAAAGAAATTGAAGAAGATCTCAGAAGATGGAAAGGTCTCCCATGCTCATGGATTGGTAGGATTAATATAGTAAAACTGGTCATCTTGCCAAAAACATAGTAAAACTGGTCATCTTGCCAAAAACAATCTACAGATTCAATGCAATCCCCATCAAAATCCCAACTCAATTCTTCACAGAGTTAAAAAGAAATTTTCAAATTTATTTGGAATAACAAAAAACCCAGGATAGCGAAAACTATTCTTAACAATAAAAGAACTTCTGGAGGAATCACAATCCCTGACCTCAAGCTGTTCTACAGAGCAATAGTGATAAGAACTGCATGGTATTGGTACAGAGACAGGCAGGAAGATCAATGGAATAGAACTGAAGACTTAGAAACGAACCCACATCCCTACGGTCACTTGATCTTTGACAAAGGAATTAAAACTGTCCAGTGGAAAATGGACAGCATCTTCAACAAATGGTGCTGGTATAACTGGAGGACAACATGTAGAAGAATGAAAATTGATCTGTTCTTATCTCCTTGTACAAAGCTCAAGTCTAAGTGGATAAAGGACCTCGACAAAAAACCAGATACAATGAAACTAATAGAAGAGAAGGTAGGTAAGAACCTCGAATACTTGGGCACAGGGGAAAATTTTCTGAACCAATGGCTTATGCTCTAATATCAAGAATTGACAAATGGGACATGATTTAAAAAAAAAAAAGCTTCTGTAAGGCAAAGGACACTATCAATAGGACAAAACGACAACCAACAGATTGGGAAAAAATCTTATCAATCCTACATCTGATAGAGGGCTAATATCCAATATATACAAAGAACTCAAGAAATTAGACTCCAGAAAACCAAATAACCCTATTAAAAAATGGGGTATAGAGCTAAACAAAGAATTCTCAATTGAGGAAACTCGAATGGCCGAGAAGCACCTAAAGAAATGTTCAGCATCCTTAGTCGTCAGGGAAATGCAAATCAAAACAACCCTGAGATTCCACCTCACACCAGTCACAATGGCTAAGATTAAAAACTCAGGTGTAGTAGATGCTGGCAAGGATGTGGAGAAAGAGGAACACTCCTCCATTGTTGGTGGGACTGCAAGATGGTACAACCACTTTGGAAATCAGTCTGGCAGTTCCTCAGAAAAGTGGACATAGCATTACCTGAGGACCCAACTATACCACTCCTGGTCATATACCCAGAAGATGCTCTAACATATAACAAGGACATATGCTCCACTATGTCCATAGCAGCCTTATTTATAATAGCCAGAAGCTGGAAAGAACCCAGATGTCCTTCAGCAAAGGAATGGATACAAAAAATGTGATACATTTACACAATGGAGTATTACTCAGCTATTAAAAACAATGAATTTGAGAAATTCTTAGGTAAATGGATGGAACTAGAAAGCATCATCCTGAGTGAGGTAAGCCAATCACAAAAGAACACACATGGTATTCAGTCACTGATTATTGGATATTAGCCCAGAAGCTTGAAATACCCAAGATTCAATTCACAGACCACATGAAGGTCATGAAGAAGAAAGACCAAGTTGGGGTGCTTCAGGTCCTTCTTAGAAGGAGTAACAAAATACTCAAGGGAGCAAATATGGAGACAGAGTGTGGGACAGAAACTGAAGGAGGGGCCTTCTGGAGACCATTCCACCTGGTATCCATCCCATGTGCAGTCACCAAAGGTAGACACTGATGTGGATGTCAGGAAGTACATGCTGACAGGAGCTTGATGTAGCTGTGTCTTTAAAGGTCTGCAAGAATTTGATATATTCAGAGGTGGATGCTCACAGCTAAACATTGAACTGATCAAGGGGTTCCCAATGGAGGAGTTAGAGAGAAGACTGAAGGAGCTGAAAAGGCTGAGGCCCCATGAGGAGAACTACAACACCAGTGAACCCGAGCTCCCAGGGTCTAAACTACCAGCCTGGGAGCACATAGAGAGGAACTCATGGCTCCAGCTATATGTATACGTATATGTATATGTATACGTAAGGGAAGATGGCCCCGTAGGGCATAGGTGGGAGAGAAGATCCTTGGTCTCATGAAGGCTGGATGCCGTGTGTGTGGGAATTTGAGGGTGGGGAGGTGGGAGTGGGGGGGTAGGTGGGGGCACATCCTCATAAAAGCAGGAGGATGGGGGGTGGAATAGGGGCTTCCTGGGTGGGTGGGGAGGGGAAAATGGGGTAAGGGGATAACATCTGAAATGTAAATAAACTATCCAATACAAAAAAAAAGAAAAAATAAAAAAGAAATGCAGTTCAACCTTTCCACAAGAGAATTATAAGATAGTACAATCAGCATATATGTAGACCTTTAAGACCACTGCAAGTCTGCTTACTTTTCCTTAAAATAACTTACTAAAAAATTCCTATATATATCAACTATTCATAAGGAAACAATATACAATCTCAGAAGCTATTTATACTAATGAACAGAAGACATTAAAATTACTTGTAAATAAGTCTAATCATATTCCCTTATCCTTTAGTGTATCTTTGAAGGGATGGTTAGCAGAATTTCTACCTGATAGATGCTCCGGTCCCTTACAGAATGTGCATACTATTTGCATATATATACATACATATATATATTACTGAATATTTTAATTCATACTTAAAATAACTAATACAATGTAAATATGATATGATTGTTTTACTACATTTTTATGGAATAATAACAAGAAAATAGGTATATGTCCAGTACACATAAATTATTATTTATATGTTTTTGATTCGCAGTTGATTTACTCCAGATATGGAATCCATAGATAAAGGGGTGAATGAATTACTAAGAGCTATGTATTAAAAGAGACTGAAGGCTAACTCAATATCTAGCTTATGAAGGTGACAGATATTTTTGCCATCAAATAACAAAATCTCAGCAGTGGGGTGATTAATTCACTTTAATTTTATTTTAGAGAACATTTTGAATAATATACTGTATATAAAATATGGAGACATGAAAATAATGATTATAAAGGCATTTTGTCCAACTTAAACAACTGATTTGTGCAACTTAAAGGTATAAAGCTACTGATTCAGCTCTCAGCACCTGAGGAAAAAAGTCTAAGATCTTATGAATAAAAGTAGCACAGAAAATATATAATAAATTTATCCCAACATAGGCCCATATCAGCAATAAAGATCAGTTGACCCTTATCTAGGGATAGAGCATTGCTAGATCAAACTTCCACAGTTTTATGCTATTATAACTCAAATATCTAATTTGTAATTTCTTGGTAGGTAACCTAGTTGATAAGCAACCATAGGAATTAGAAGTTACAAAGTACTTGATGACAATGAGATCTAAACATCTCTGTGGACCTAAGTGTGGTGTCACATACTTTAGTTCCAGCACTAGAAGGACAGAGGCAGGTGGAGTTCAAGGCAAGCCAAGTCTGCACTCCAAAGTTCCAGCCTAGCTAGGCTGCACAGTGAAACACTGTCTCAAAACAAAACAACCAAGTCTCACATCATATCACAGTGACAGTGGAGACAGAAAGAACCAGGAAGCTGGCCAGTGTGAGATGCACATTGAGAAATATACTAGTTGCTACAGAAGGTATGGCATGTGACAAATATTGTCATTTCCCGATGGCCGTATTAAGAAGTGACTAGAAGAAATGATTTCTAAAGCTGTGCTAAGAATGTTGTCCAGACAGTTTAAAAGATTAATCTTATTTATTCTAGCTGAAAGCCTAAGAACAATCATAACACAAATCAGAAAGGTCGACACTTGTAAAAAACATTCAGTTAAGTAATCGCAGAAATGTACTTTATGAGAGATGTGAGCAGTAGGCCAGTTTTCCTTTTGGCTACATGTTTCTTTAAGGCCCAACTTACTGTATTACATTAAAACAGCTGGAATTAATGGAGATGCACTTACTTTCGCAGTTTTCAAGATGGAGTTAGGAGAATTCAGACCAACAAGTTGACCCAACACATATTTCATCTCATCAGTGGTTTCCCTAGCCAGTTGGCTGCCTATAAAAGAAATATAATGAATAAAATGCTGTATTATTAAGAGTAATATAAATTCATTAACACATTCATAAACACATTCTGGCCAGGTACATGCCTGTAATTCCAGCCCTCAGGAGGCTAAGGTAGGTATTGGTCTGAGTTTGAGGCAAGATCCTGTCTCAAAAAATTAAAACAAACAAATAAAAAAAACCCTAAAACCACATTCTGAAGGTGGGGAAAAGGGATCATGAATCTAAGGTCAGCCTAAGCTGTAATAGTAAGACTCTGTCCCCCAATATATATATATATATATATATATATATAACACTAACTGGCATTCTTGTAATTTATTACAATCTCCTATGTACAATAGGTAACATTAAATAACAAAGAGAGGTAATTAAAAGAGGTAACGTTATTAACTTTATTATTTAGCAAACAGGCTATGAGAGAGCAGCCAATTTAGATTTTGGTTTTCTATAGTTAACACACTATTCATTCATGCTGGTAACCTAGGAAACAGTAACCTTTAAGGAACCAGTACCTGGATGAGGCTGAATTTGGACATACGGATGTGCAAGAAGCTCAGGGATAGATATCCTCTCTTTAGGGTTCCTTACTAAACAGCACTAAAACCAAACAAACAGACAAAACAAAGAGCAAGTTTTTATACATGATGCTGACAAAGGCCTTCCAGATGACATCATACTACAGACTCTACTCCAGACATGCTACTCACACAGCAGTAACAAGTTTTCTCCAAGTCACCTTTTAGAAATTCCCAAGTGCCCATTAAATTAAAAAAAATACTTTTCACAATAAGCAGGCTTTAAAAATAACTTTTATCAGCAAGTCCTTTCACTAGACCAATTATATTCAGGATAGTTAAATAATTCCAAACACCTCAACTACTTCTTTCAAACAGACATGAAATTATGAGACATTATTTTTCTATATCCACATACGGTTAGTGTTACCTTCAGCACGTCTCGAAGATCTTTTTCCGAAATCTCAGGAAATTCAATTTCATAACTAGGGTCAATTATGGCATGTAGTTTAGAGACCTGATTAATGATATGCTGAAATGGTGTTTTCCCATAAGTCATATAGTACAAAATGCACCCCAAGGACCAAACATCACTTCTGGGACTTATCTAAGTAGGAGAAGAAAATTTGCTTTAATTTAATGCAAAGGGTAACATAAAAATATCATATGCCTGTAATCCTAATTATACAATAATAATTAAAACCTCAATGGATATAAAAGTATAAGATTATGCGTATATGACAAAACATCTTTTCCCAATTTTCATTACATTTGATCCCTTTATAGAGAACTTTAAACCCTTGAAAACCTCAAATTATTTTATAGGAAATAAAGTATTAAATTCTTGGTATCTGTGAAAACTCAATACTAAAAAAACAATATAAACTTGAATTTACTTGTTTGTCCCAGAATGATTAAGTTGTAACACCTTTGTATCTGAATTCATAATATGTCTATGTTTTTAAAGGTTGCTTAAATTGTACAAGCCTAATCTCTGGAGTAAAAATTGTAGAACCAGAACCACTTGCCTAGAACACACTAAACCCCAACTCTAAACCCCAAAGCAAAAATAAAATACAGTATATTGTTATGGGTATTAAATGGAATTGGACATAGATAACCAGAGAAAAGAGTTTATTTTTCTTTTCAGATTATTTATTTTTCATTTGTGTGTGTGTGTGTGTGTGTGTGTCTGTCTGTCTGTAGTGGAAAGCCCAGGTTCTTTATTTGTAGGTTATTTATTTTTTATTTGTGTGTGTGTGTGTAAAGCTCAGGTCCTCTGTAGGTTATTTTGTGTGTGTGTGTCTGTGTGTGTGTGTGTGTGTGTGTACCCAAGGGCCCAAGTCCTCTGTAACAGCAGCAAACAGTCTCAGCTGGTGAGCCAGAAGAGTTTCTGAGTATGCACCAATAAAAGAGCATTCATTCTCCTGAGCCCAATACTGTTAAATGTTCACTGGGTTAAAATCACATCAGGAATAATCACAGCAATAGGAAAACAGAGAACGAAAAACAGAAACATATTTTCCACAAAAAGTAAATCTAAACCAACTGTCATAGAAAGTCAGTGAAGAAAAAGTAGGTGTTAGAAAAAGAAACGGACATATTAAAAACCTGACTTATTAATTTTTTTTTTTTAAACAAAAGAACAAACTACTACTCAATGTTAGGAAAAGAGAGCAAAACAAGACCGAAGAGAAAATTATTTGTACCGTGATAAACAATGCTACCAACTAAGAAAAAGAGTAAACTACAAAAAAAAAATAAAGGGAAGAGGATGTATGTGTGCACGGGTGTGCCACATGTGCATGGTTGTCCCGTATGTGTGCACGGGTGTGCCACATGTGCATGGTTGTCCCGAAGAGGGCATTGGATTCCCTGAACTGGATTCACAGGCAGTTGTGAACTATCCAACTTAAGTGCTGGGAACTGAATTTGGGTCCTCTGTAAGAGCAGAACTTGCTCTTGACCACTGAGCCATATCTCGAGCTTCAAGGATAAATTTTTGAAATGTTATTGTATCATTGAAAACTGAGCCGGGCAGTGGTGGCGCACGCCTTTAATCCCAGCACTTGGGAGGCAGAGGCAGGCGGATTTCTGAGTTTGAGGCCAGCCTGGTCTACAGAGTGAGTTCCAGGACAGCCCAGGCTATAAAGAGAAACCCTGTCTCGAAAAAACAAAACAAACAAACAAACAAACAAAAGAGAGAACTGAGCCAAGTGTGGTGGCACACATCTGAGATCCCAGCATTTGGAAAGCTAAGGCAGGGGATAATGAGACTATGTCTCAAAAAATGAGAAGGGGGAAGGAAGGGGGAGGGGAAGAATAGTGAAGGGAAATTTGTTTTTGCACATTAAATCAACTGAGTTGACAACTGAAAAAATTACAACCACTATGTATAATTTAAAACCTTAAAAGTAGAAAAGACAGACATTAAACTGAAATTACAAAACTAAGAAATTAATAGGCATTAAAAATACTACAATAAAACCTGTAAATAATAGCAGAAGACTCAGTAAAAACGTTATCTTACAAAGCAAGGTTGTGTTAAGTAACTCAAGAGTCACTGAAGTCCTGATCCTCTAGCAGGTATGCACTGCACCACCCAGCTACAGGAGTAGTGTTAATCCAAGTTCAAACACTAAAATCAAACACGATTTAATTTATAAGATGGGGGAAAATGTAACCAGGGCACACAAGGGGAGACAGCTCAAGAGGCAAACAGGAGCACCCCAGGTTCAGTCCTGGGCACTGTCAGTGGACTCTATGAAGAAATGCAACAAGTTCAAGGTCAGCCAAGGCTTCAAAGTTAGATCCTGTCAACAGCAACAAAAAACACAGTATACATGAAAACAAATACCTTAACAAACACAAAAATATAAACTGGAAAGCAAAGGGAAATAGAATTTATGAATGAAATAAACATGTTTTTGTTTTTAAGTTCAACAAAACCATGAGAAGTCTAAAGAATACCTAATCAAAAGGCAGCGAATATAAATCAGAGAAGAAAAAAAACAACTAACAATTATGAAAACAGTTTCCTAAGATAAAATATTTGGTAAGGCTTTTATGCACACTGGGCTGGGGAGATGGCTCGGTGGGTAAAGCACTTGCTATAAAATGTGAGGACCTGACTGAATCCTCAGAAACCAACGGAAAAGGCAGACATGGCAACCCAGGAAAAGACAGTTGGAGAAGGCAGAGGAAACCTCAGAAGCCTGGCAAACTCAGCAGCAAACAGCAAAACAAAGACTATTTCCAATAAGACAGGTGGTGAGAACGGATACACCCACAGTTGCCCTGTGCCCTCTGTTATGTGCTATGGCACAAATATGTCCACACTCAGAACATAAATGTGTACACAGACATCATACACATTCAGACATAGACATGGGCATAGACATACAAATTTTATGCAAGCTATTTGAAGAACTACCAGAAACCATAGTTTCTAGGGAAGAAAAGTAAACTTATTCAGCAGTGAGCTGGATGCTGAACTGAAAAATTTCTTTCTCTGTTACTTCTTGTTTTCTTTTAAAATACACATTACTCAACAAGTCTACCTCACAAAGGGGAAAACAGACAAGTTACTCACTGCTTAAGAAGTACGGTTATGTATGACATGAAGGTTGCTGGGACCCAACTCTGTGTGAGCTTTCGAACAGTGCAACAGTGAAAGAAAGATTAGCCAGGGAGCTCGACACATCCCAAAAAGAAAACGAGCCCCTGATAAGGGACATCAAGGAGGCGAGCAGCAATCACTCAGACTAAAATAACAACCACACGCACATAAAATAATTTAAAAAAAAAAAAAGGTAAAAGAATGGTGAAGTGAATCCCATCACAATTCACAGGAGCTCACTGGTACCAGGTAAGCGCTCTTCCCAGTACCTTGGTCTTGATTTTCCCATTTTCTCTTGAAGAAGACATGTCTCTGATTGCCTCTGGGGCCATGTAGTTAACTGTGCCAACCTATTTGCAAATCACAAAGAAATCGATGAGAACAGCTTTCTAGATTTATAACTATATAAATGTCAGATTTCTGGAAACTTGGATAACTAATGATTTAAATGACAGACGTGACAAATTCAAATAACTGCCAACAATATAAGAACGTATATAATATCACATCACAACTCCAATCAAATGAGTGAGCTGAGATTGACCTGACTCCTTTTGGAGCACTGTGCTTTGAAACTGTGTGGGAGAGCTAGTATTAGCTGCCTTTACAACTGTTTAGGCTAATTCTGAACTCTGAGGGATTTGACCATCATTCACTTTCATGGTCATATAAATTCAACATATTCTCCCTTCAATAAACCAAGCAACAAATTAATACATGAGTAAAAGGAACCAGCTAGCTTCATCTCCCAATATTCTTTGGCCCCACATGCAGAACGAGATGGGTTGGAAAAGTAAATCACATGAGAGTTTCTCCAGCTGGGGATGGAAATAGCACAGCAAAATCCTTTAGTTCTAAGATAACAAAATGTCTGCATGCTAAGACCTTGCCATAGGTAACTTTAGGCTTATCTACACACACTGTTCACCTGTACTTTTGAGACAAAAAATAATGAATGACTGTCAAGAAGAATGACTTTAAGTGCATGGTCTCTACTAATTTACTTGCGTCCCTGGACATGTGAGGAGCAGCCGAGATCCACTTTCAGCTCTGCTTTCATCTCACTACTTCAGCCTCATGATATTCACCACTGCAAATCTCACTACAGAACACAACAGGGCTGCAGAGCTTGCTGCACAGTCTGACTCTGGTTCTCAGGGCTCACAGTAGGAGAGAACTGGTTTACCAAAGCTATCCCCTCACCTCCACAATGGCATGCTTGCATCTGGAAACACACACACCCCACACAAATAAGTAAAACATTTCTTTTTTTTAACATAGCTGAGTGGAACGCTTCAGTATTCCCAGTAAAGCTCTCTTAAAACTTTCCCCCAAATTTAAGTAGTAAGAAAAAGAAACAGGACAATGGAAAACATGAAGGTGCAATTCCTCTCTGCTCTGCCTGAACTATGAGAAAATCATTCAAAATTCATAAATATACTTGTGTGATCTTGAACTGGTTTTATAAATCAAATTGACCATGAATTTGACCATGGTTTTTTATAAACGTAGCTTCTCTTCTTAAAAAGACTTCAAATTTTTGGAAGAACACGGTTGGTAAAAATATAATACTGACAAAATATTTAACAGATAAAAAGGAACTAAACCTTGTAGTAACCAGCCATCATTAAAAAAGCCTACCCGAAGCTGGGTGTTGGGGCTCACACCTGCCATCCCACACCTGGGAAGCACAGTCTACCTGAGGTCAGGTGTTGGGGCTGACACCTGCAATCCCACACCTGGGAAGCACAGTCTACCTGAGGTCAGGTGTTGGGGCTCACACCTGCAATCCCACACCTGGGAAGCACAGTCTACCTGAGGTCAGGTGTTAGGGCTCACACCTGCAATCCCACACCTGGGAAGCACAGTCTACCTGAGGTCAGGTGTTAGGGCTGACACCTGCAATCCCACACCTGGGAAGCACAGTCTACCTGAGGCCGGGTGTTGGGGCTGACACTTGCAATCCCACACCTGGGATGCACAGGCAGCAGGGTCAGGAGTTGAAGGCCACAGATTGGAGCAAAGTCAAGAGCATTATAGGTTACGTGAAACCCTGGTTCAAAACACTAAAATACAACTAAGACAGCAAAAGTCCTACCTGAGAATCTTTAACAATGCTTGTTGTGTCTGGCTGCATTTGGTTTGCAATCCCAAAATCAATTAGCTTTAGCATTCCATCAACTATTAGAAAGTTAGCAGGCTTCAGATCACTGTGAACAATGCCTTCAAAATAAAATCCATTATGTTAGATGAAGAAAAACATTCTCTCGACAGAAAAAAAGCATTTCATAATCTCTAAGTCAAGTTTATCCTTTCAATTAGTCAAGACATTAATATTCAGTTATTATACATTCTACACCTTCTTAGCAAATGCTGTGGGCCAGGTACCACTTTATAGCAGTGCAGAGTAAATAAGTACCATCATCATTTTAAGGGTGAGGACATTCAACGCAATTTGAGTTGAAGTAACTGTTCAGGATTAAGGCCTGGCCTGTCAGTGTGTGCTGCACACTGCCATGCTCAGCCCAGTAGAGCACCACAAAGCACTGTCAGACAGTTAAGATCGCAAGGCCTTCCATACTCCCCAAGAATCCTATCCTCTGACTAGTTACTGCTTATAAAAGGAGAAGCAGAGGAAACACATTAGATTGAACATGTCTGTTTTAAAGACAAGTAAAGGCAGAGAAAAGCCCTGGTAGGAACAAGAATGAACCAGGAGCTAATAGTGAAACACAAAAAACAAGAACAGACAAACTCTCACACAAGACACAAAGGAGAACATCCTCTGGAGACTGAAAGAAACACTGACCATCATCCTTCTAATTTTAGGATATCCAAATCCTCAGGACTTGAAGGTAAGAATCACCAGTTAACATCTAGGAGGATAAGGTTACACTGTACATGTGTGGATTTAAGTTTGTGTTCTATATCTGTATATAACCAGTCTTAAGAAATGGGTTTGTGCCTTTACCTTTAAATGAACTTCCAGTTAAGGGTATGTTTCTAAAATGGCACAATTAACAACTATTTTAACTTTACATATATGAAGAGATTTGGAAATACCATGTTGATGGATTGTGTGTACTGCCTCCAACATGTTTTTCCAGTAGCTCTTTCGTTCCCATGGATTGATGGATTTTTTCTTTTTAAGCCAAGTATTAAGGTCAATGTTTCCACATTCCATTACCATGTAGATGTACCGCTCCGTGATTTCACTGCAATTAAAGATGAACAGACACAATAAAACAAATGCCCACATTATATCATTAAGTATACACTCTTTGCCTAAGAATTATGTCAAGAACAAACTTTTATTTTAAAAATAAAAATGAATTCATACTAATCATAGAGGCGGATGATCTTATCACTGTGTTGTTGTAGTTTGTTCAAATAAGCTATCTCATTGCGGTAGCTGTCAATAGTTTGGCTATCGGCATCTTCTAGGTTCACGTATTTGATAGCATTTATCTGTTTCTTCTCATTCAATACCTGAAACACCTACATAGAAAGTAGAGAAAGAGCTTAGGACATGTCTACCTCTGTAAACTGGAACAGTATTTTTTCATTTAACACTAACAGTCTCAGGCTGAGAAAATTCTGAAACATGAACAATTTGAAGTTCTGGACTTATTTTGAGTGTAGAAGTAGAAATACATACATACACACACACACACACACACACACACAAATACATAAATGCAATGATGAAAAGTGTCCATTTCTAGCCCCTATGACAGTGTACATTTAAATAATTCAAAGGTATAAACCCCTAAAGTTTTCTACATCAGTATCTAAGAAAAGCAACTTAAATTTGTTGCTATATTCACAAAATTCTAGGGATGTCTTATCCAGGGAGATAACATCGAGGAAAAGACATTCAAAAATGATAAGGATGACTAAGGCTGTGATTGACAGTTCACTTCTTAGACAATAGTTCCCTGCTTATAATTGTGTCTACTATCAATCAGTTCATTTCTTTGATAGAGAATTTTAAAATTATAGTAATTGTAAGCCATCATTATATTCATTTGTGGGAAGTAGTGTAAGACACATTTTCAGTTAGGTTGGCAGGAGTGATAATGTTCCTTCCTATGAATCAATTTCTAAAAACACCACTAAGGCAAATTAACATTCTGAAAGAGGCCCCACATGAGTTTACAGCTTCTACCACATGAATCACGCAATGCCTATAACATATATTCACTTGTACCCTTTGACACTTCCCTCACTGAACCCTGTTGTCTTCTTTCCAAAAGACATCTTGTCTTTCCTATCACTCTTGTTCAGTCACTCTTACCCCCACCTTCTTCCTTATGCTCATAACTAAACATTTAATAAAGGGAACATGAAAAGGAAAATATTTATTGAAAGATGTGCTCTATGTGGTAATATATACTCCTACTTATTTTGTTTCATTGCTTATGGTTTTGATGTTAGGGATTAAAGCCAGGGCCCAGCACCAAAGCCTATATAGTGTATGTATGTAGCCCAGGCAGATCACCCTGCCTCGGCCTACCAGGTGCAGAATTATATAGATGGGTTTTATAATGTGTGATGCTTTCCTTATTTGCAATAGGTTAATAAAATAGCTAGAAGCAAGTCTAGTTACTGTTAGCTGGCTTAAAGAAGTATAGTAAAACTTCCAAAATAAGCCAATTATCTCTGCTTCATAGCATAAAATAGCCTAATAGCCATGGAGAAAAACTCAGCAAAGGAATAAAGGTCCTATTCAGTTCTAGTCACCAGAGCTAGTTTCACTGAACAGTCAAACATCACATCTTGATATTAAGTACAGGGTGGGGCACAAACAACAAATAAGCTACTCACAGAATGTGGTTAATAGGGAAGCCACAGCTAGGCATGGCTGCATACACCTTTAATCTCAGCACTCAGGAGGGAGGCAGAAGCAGAAGGATCCCCATGAGTTTGAGGCTAGCCTTCAAGAGAGAGAGGAGAGAGAAAAGAAACTACAGTGAAGATAGGAGAACAGAGATTTCTGATGACTAGAAGATGGGATCTGCAGTTTTTGAGTGTGTTGGCCAAGAGGACACTTTAGCAAAGATACCTGAACAGAGATGGGATGGTGATAGTCCTTGTAATCCCAGCATTGGTAGGCTGAGGCAGGGGAACTGCTGCAAATTCAAAGCTAGCTGGGATATAAAGCAAGACACTATGGAAGGGAGGGAGGGAGGGAAGGAAGGAAGAGGGAGAAAAGACAGAAGTACAATGACTGAGTGAGCTTATTACTTACTGTAACAAACCAAATAAGATAATAGCTGCTTCAGACAAAAATGACAACACTAATAAAAAAAAAAAAAAGGATTTTGAAGCTGCTCAGAATGTAATAACAGCAAGTCTTCTCTGACCGCCCAAATGTGTGTATGAGAATAAGAGTAGTCAATAGGTTTTTAGCCAAGTAATTGTAAGAATGAAGTTGCTATTTACTGCAACTGGAGACTAGAGACCATGTGTTTACACATTGTGTCTTAAATACCTGGTTACCAAGAAGATGCTGAGCAGTCAAGTTTGGAAAGTTAGTCTGGAAATCAGAAGGCTGAACTGGAAATACAAGTTAGGAAACTTTAACCATTTAACAGCATTTACTCCACAACACTGGAAGAAAACAGGAAAGGAAGGCTTGATTTAGAGGTCAAATCCTGAGTGCTCAGGCAGTGTATCTGAGGTTCAGGGACACCAGGAAGACTGAAAAAGTCTGAGTGTGAGAGAATAAAGGCAAGTGTGAATGTGTCTATGTGTGAAACCTAGTCAAAGCACAGAACCACATTTAACAAAACTTTGGAAACCTGAACAACCCGGAGGGTAGCTCTGTGGGTTAGCAACACAGGCAGAAGTGACTGGAGTCGGGTCAGAAGCGTGGTTCGTAGATAGCTCTCACAATGCCTTCCTCCTCAGTCAAGGAATAAGAACTGGGCTCAGGTCTCCAAGCAGTCCCAGAAGAAAACAGTTGATAGCTCTACTTTTAAAATGAATTAATGTACAGATAAAAACCTCAAACAAACAATGTGCATGACTAAGGAACTCAATCTAAGACCCCAACAAGACAATCTCCAAAGTGAACAATATGGTAAACTGGAGGAGAAAATGAAGAGCATGGAAGAAAAAAATTACCATGTGAATTGAAACACTGAAAAGAAACCAAACAAAATGCTGGGAACGAATGGTCAATCAAATTAAAAAGTATGCCAAAAAGCATCATTACTAAACAAGATTAGGCAGAAGAACAAATTTTAGAGATGGAAGACAAAGCTAAGACCATACATACATACACTTGACATACATAAAGAAAATACATTTAATGCACACAGGCAATACTCCTAAAAATTCTGGATACATTCAAGAAGCCAAACCCGAGAATTCATAGAGTAGAAAAAAAAAAAGATCTGTGATAAATTGGAAAATAGACAAATAAAATTATAGCAGAAAATGAAATGTCCCAAAGCTGGAGAAAAAAGTAGATATCCAAAGAGAAGAGGGATAGCGAATGTTCCACAACATGTCATAGTCAAGGTTAGTACCATGAAAATGGCCATACCACCAAAATTAATTTACAGATTTAAGATAGCCATCAAAATTCCAAGGACATTCTTCATAGTATTAGGAAAACAATACAAAACAAACAAACAAGCCCTATAGGAATTCGTATGGAATAACAAAGCAATCTTAAGGAAAAAAGAATACATTTGGAGATATTAAAATATTTGAGTTTACATTAGTCAAACTGTAGGCAAATTGATGACGGCCAGGTACTGAGATAAAGACAGACTGACCAAAGGAATAGAAGAGAAGACTAGAAACAAACCAACAAAACCAGCGCCATTTCGTATCTGACAAAGATCTCAAAAGCATGCAGCACAGAGAAAGAACAACCCACCTCACAGATGGCATTGGTGAGTCTTTCTTTCATCCTGTACAAAAGTCAATTTGAAGTGAAACAAAGACCTCAATTTAAAACCTGAAACCCTGAATTTGCTAGAGGGAAGAAGGGATATACTTCAAGAAAGAGGCACAGGCAAGCTCTTTCTGAGTCAAAGCATATGAAATAGCCCCATGAATCAACACATGTAACTATATGAAATTAAAAGGTCTTTGAAGAGCAAAGGAAACTATAAATGGACAACCTATAGAACGAGAGGAAAAATTTTAGCTACCTATACTTCAAAGGGGGACTCATAGTCAGAACTACAGAGAAATGGAAAATAAAATAAGACAAAACTTCTAATTGGCAAACAGGCTAACAAAATAGACAGTTCTCGAAAGAAGAAACAGGGCTGCAGGGCTCAGCACAGAACACTGTTCTTCCAGAGGACTCGGGTTTGATTCCTAGCATGCACATGTTGGTTAACAACTGTCTGTAACCCTAGTTTCAGAGGATCTACCACCCTCTTCTGGCCTCCATAGTTACCCTATACTTGGCAGGCAGAGTCAGACAGGCAGGCAAAAGCTCATTAAGCGTAAAATAAAAGAATAAAGAAAAAAATTACAAAGAAACACAAATGGCCAAAGGCTATTTTTAGGTATACCCCAGGAAATATATAAACTACTCTGAGATACTGCCTCAACCCAGTCAGAAAAGATATTATCAAAAAATTGGACAACAACTGCTGGTGAGGATATGGTGAAAGACGAATCCTTATTCATTGCTGCTGTAAACTGGTACAACCATTATGAAAGTCAGAATGGAGGTTTCCTAAGATGGCCCAGCTATATCATTCATAGGCAAATACCCAAAGGACTCATCCCACAACACAGACATGTGGACACCCACATTTATTACCATTCTATTCACAACAAGAAATGAAAACAGCCTAAATGTTCCTCAACAGATGAATGGACAATGAAAAATATGTATCTATAATGTGATTCCATTCAGCTATAGAGAAAAATGAAATCTGTAGGGAAAAGGACGGAAATGGAAGGCCATAATGGTATCTAATATCTAATATCATGCACACTAAAAATAAAAAATATCTTTAAAAATAATCACTCAAAAAATTTAGAAAATAATCTAATTCCAAAAGTTCATGTTAGTAGAACATTTTTAAAATGGAAAACCTTGAATAAAACAAGGTCACTTACTGAATTCTTACTGAATGACCTTAAGCACACCTAAGATCATACTATGTCCTCAATTTACTTTTTCAGTCTCTTTGTGATAATACAGTGGTTACTGGGCACTGCAAACACATGTTAACATGACACAGAAGGAATCTGAAATCAAGGACACATGAGGAAAAGAGTGAGGCTGAGATTCAGTAGTTGGTCTAAAGAAAGTTGGTTATTTTAGGAGAAGGAGGGGAGGATATGAGGCAGCTTTTCTAGCTCCAGGGCAACATGGGCTTCTAGAGAGAAAAAGAGCCCTCATACTTTAACAGACAGGATGTTTATTCATTTGATACTTACCTTACTTGAACCTCCACTGCCTATCTGTTTTAATATAGAATAAATTCTTCCATTAACTGAAATGCATTCATTCATTGATGACGATCCTGAAATCTAAGCAATTAAGATATATAAATGTAAGTTCAAAGAACATGTCTAACAAACTAGTTTGCATTAGGTATAGTGAAATGCTCCCAATTTTGGCCAGCTGGGCTACAAAAGACTCTCAAAAAAAAAAAAATCTAAAACAACAACAAAAACATAAAAGAGGAATACAAGAAATATGTTAATTAAATTCAGACGCAAACTTCTAAAAGTCTCCTCTTGAACCGATTTCTACTTAATCTGAGTAGAAAAATCAAGAATGTCACTTAATCCGGTGGACAAACTCATGAGCTATCCATTTCATCTGTCTTTCCTATTTCTCCTCCTTGCATCTCTTTACTTCACATACATGTCCGCAGTCATTTCTTTATCCCCACCCCATTAAACATTATATAAAAGCAATGTGCCAAGGCACAGTGAGCTCTGGTCATTAGACAATGCACATTTCATCAACGCCTGTCCCTCTCTTCTGCCCTGAGTGAAGCTCACTGTCCCCAGCAATCTATCAGCTGGTGAGTATCAGTTGTCCTTTCCTTCCTTCTTACTAACTGGATGGTCTCACCTGTGTTTATAGATTTTAAAAAGAAATGGCGTGCTAAAAGTCCTTATTTTCATATAGTAAAGCTGAAATTAAGAGGTTTTGATTATTCAGTTAACCAAATTCAATCAATCAAAGTCTGAATAAACTTCACTTTAACTGAGTCATGTTTTAAATCCAAAATGACAGACTCTTTTATGTAATCTTCTATAGAAACAGACAGATGAATTCTAATGTCCTTATTCTTGGGACATGACTTAAGTTAGAGTTGTCTCCCATGTGTTCTCTTTGTCCCTCCTTAAACAGCATTCCTTGGGGAATAATCCCTTTGTCATCCTTATCCCTGCTGTGAACACTTTTCAGAATACAGTAACACCAGCGAATTCTACTTCAATACCAGTGTGACATTAATTCCCTCCGCAAGATTCATCCCTATCCACCTCCTCATTAGGGCCTTCCAAATTACTAATTAACTAGACCATGTACTCTGCTTCTCTGTCCCACACAAAACTTCCAAAAGCTCAGTGAAACCCTGAGTATTGCTTTCTTTTCCCTAGTTTTAGGCCACACCTGACTCCTTTTCAAGTCTCTCTTGACAGTGGCCTCTTCTAGAGCATTTTCAAGCCCCTTTTCCAGTCACATCTAGATTTTAACCAGAACAGGACCTATTAGCACTAAAAGGCCAATAAACAGATCTTGAATCAACATTACTCTCTCTCTTTGGAGAAAGGGTTTTTCTATTTAATTCTGGATACCCTGAAACCCCCTATGAGAACCAGGCTGGCCTCAAACTCACAGGAATCCTCCTTCCTCTGTCTCCTGAGGGCTGTGTGCCACCATGCCAGGCTTTTTCCTTTCACTTTGTAACTTCTTATATAATTTCCAGCCTGCAGACACCATCAAATCTTTCCATAGCTAGTATTATATAAGCTATTGTCAGATAATCTTTTGTTTATCTTTTTATATAATGGCAAAATAAACATAATCCAAACTTTGCTTTTTTAACCATTTTTAAGCACAGTTCTGTAGTATTAGGTACACTGGTCACTGTGGAAATGTCACCACTGTCCATCTTCAGAATGTTTTGTCATCAAATAATGATACTCTATACCATTTCCCAGTAACAACTCCCCAGTTCCTCCCTCCCAGGTATGTAACTACTCTTCCAGTTTTTGTCAATTATTTTTAATAAACTGGTCTTAACAGGTGATCACTCTTTTGGCTAGTTCATTTAAATAACGACAGCAGTTAACATTTATCAACTTTTAAGTGTCAGGTCATACTCTACTTTTAAGAGTTACACATATAATAATTACCATAACCTTCACAATGATTCTAGCAGGAGGTAGTGTCATTTCTCCATTTAAGCATGATGAAATGGGTACAAAGAGTTCTTGTAACTTGCCAAAGATCACACAGCTGGTGAAGAGTGAAGCCAAGAATCATGTCCATGCGGTCTTCCCACCAGACCCATGTTCACACTGTGCTCAAGAGTATTTTACAGTAATTTCAGTCAGTTAGTACCTAGGTTTTTGTCAAATGGTAACTCACATGTCATCAAAATCTTTGTTAGTTTACAACAATTATAATACCTTGTAAGTTCCTCTTATAAGGAACTCCTAACCTATCCCTTATAGAATAAGGAGTTCCTATTCTCACCATCCAGAAGATTCACTTTTCCAAAAAAAAATTAGATATTAACAAGGAAATGAAGCTGCTCACAAGTAGAAAGTAAGCTCCACTGTAAGAGGAGGTTTACTGAACTAATTCAAACGGGATTCATGAGCCTACTCACAGACAGCATGTGGGAGACACACTCTCATCAAAATGTCAAAAACTTCCCTAAGGGACAGGTTCTGAAGACCTTCCCTGACAATCTGATACTATGAAAACAAGATCTATGAAGCTGACTGCACCTTAAATATGCCACCATAAAGCACATGCATCGAACCTGTAAGTTTTGAAGAGGAGTGCTGAGCCCTTGCTGCTGCTGCTGCTGCTGCTGCTGGAGTCGGGCAAGCTGGCTGTAAGGGGTTGATGACGGACAGGCAGATGGAAAGTCAGTCTTTATAACTGGAGTCTTAAAACTAGAAAAGATTTTTATTTGCTTTAATACAACATATTTAAAAATTAAAAGGAAATAGGTCACATAAACCTAAATTTTCCCACATTAGTTTTTCTGATATTTATGTGTTTGACTTATACCATAACCAGGTGGCTAATTTGGGAAAAATTGTTGTGAGATCAATTTTTTAATCTCCTAATGGAATTAAAAATATGGAGTAAGGGGAATTTTATAACAGTTTAGCCAAAACTAAGGTCAGCTTGTAACTGACCACAGACTTTTACAGTTGTTTTTAGACAATGATGCTCTATGGCCGTCTGCTAGAAGTAACTAGGAGCCACGATGTCAGCAGAGGAACCTGGTCTTCCTGTTTATGTCTGTTCAGCACACAGCCATACTTTGCTTCCTTTGATTGCTAATGGATCTTCAATACTGGTAGCAGTAGTTGGCAAACCACAACAATAACAGCAACAACGAAAACTTTAAAAACAGTAAATAATCTGGAGCTAGAAAGATAGCTCAGTGGGCAAGAGCACCTATGTGCAAGCATAAAGACCTGAGTCAGAATCCCCAACACCCATGTATAACGTTGGCACAGCTATGTGTAGGCCTGTAACCTGTTGGGGTCAGAGGCGCAAGCACTACTACAGCTTGCTAGCTCCCAAGTCTAGCTCCAGATTCTAGGAGAGATTCTGTTCAAAAGGAATAAGGTGGAGGGAGAATGGCAGACCCTTCTGTTCTGCAGGCACATCCATCTGCATATGTACATGAGCATACAGAACACACACATAAATGTCTTAAGAAATGCATTATTAATTTAGCTAGCAATCATTCTTTGAAATAACATGTAATAAGATGATGAAATAATAACATTGCATTAAATAGATAAGACACTCCTTATAAATAGGATAGTTCTAATTAGGGTAAAAAATGACATTCTGAAAATAAAAGGCCAAAAGCATCATGGAATTATATTATTCCTTAAAACATTAAAAATATAGCCAATGGTTGAAGGTTATTATATATTCTTTTCTTTGAAATGTCATTTTCTTTTGCAATATCTTTTATGTTTCCTTTTTATCAGCACTGATCATACAATTTCTTCACACGCCTCTCATTCCTGTCCTTAGTCCTGTATCTTTGAATACTTTCCAAACTATGTGAATTATACATCTGACCTCACTCAGGGGCCATCCCATTCCAATTACCACTGTATATGTGGAAATAGCTATCTATCCTGTTCCATTCTAAGAATGCTAAATTTCCTTTAAATGTTTCTCAGTCAGAGAAGCATACATGTTCACAAGGAAAAGACACAGACTGCATACTTAGATTCCCAAGTTGTAAGAGTACATGACCAAGAGCACTTTTATAACAGTCCTTAAAAACAGAATAATTATACATGAAGACAATATATATGGAATCATAATTTGCTTTCCTCTTTGGATTTTACAGATGCCAAACAATTGATGCTGAGAAAGAAAGTAATTTCCAAGTCTTTAAATAAGAGAGAAGGTTCAGCCCAATACAGTTTGGTCTGAAAGCTAATCTTATTTCTATTTTCACCTTGAATTCTGAGCTCAGTGCAAAAGGTAATTACCATTTCATGTAATCATCCATGGTACTGCTACTAGGTGTCTCACAGACGGACTTTGGATCAAGCCATTTAGGAACTGGTATCGGTGGTGACTGCTTTGAAACAGAAAAGGCAAGTTGTTCAGCAGTGGTACACTTCTGCTAAAAGAAAATTTAAAATTCCATGACTTAGAGAATTAGACAGTAACAGTTTAACAAATACAACTTTTGAAATAATAAAAATAAGCATGTGCCAGGCAGTGGTGGCGCACGCCTTTAATCCCAGCACTTGGGAGGCAGAGGCAGGCGGATTTCTGAGTTCGAGGCCAGTTTGCTCTACAAAGTAAGTTCCAGGACAGCCAGGACTACACAGAGAAACCCTGTCTCGAAAAACCAAAAAAATAAAATAAAATAAAATAAAATAAAAGAAAAGAAAAGAAAAGAAAAGAAAAGAAAAGAAAAGCTGTCTTAGTTTTGGTTTCCATTACTGTGAAGAGGCACCATGACTTTTATAAAGGACATTTAACTGGGGTTGACTACAGTTTCAGAGGTTGAGTCCATTATCATCATGGTGGGAAGTGTGGTATCATGCAGGCAGACTTGGTATTAGAGGAGTCAAGAGTTCTACATCTTGATCTGAAAACAGCAAGGAGATTCACTCTGCAGGCAGCTGCAGGAAGGTCTCTTCCACATTGAGCATAGGACTTCAAAGCTCACCCTAACAGTGACACACTTCCTCCAATAAAGCCACACCTACTCCAACCAAGTCACCCCTCCTAAGAGTAGCATGGGCCAAGCATATTTAAATCACCACAAAAGCAGACTAAAACTGTGTGTTTGTGTATGCGCACACAGGTGTTCATTTACATGTGTACATGTATAGGTGGAGCCCAGAGGTCAACCTAGAGTATTGTGTTTTGAGAAAGTCTCTGTTGGACCTGAGGATCATAGATTATGTTAGGTTGGGCTGGCAGACCAGTGAGCCCTACGGATCCACCATTCTCCATCTCCCTGGTGTTGGTTAAGATTACAAGCACATGCCACTACCCTTGGCTTTTTACATTGATGCTCATTATCAAACTCAGGTCTTCATGCTTGCACAGCATTTTACTAAGCTATCTCCCCCAGCCCAACTTTTAGTCAAATTTTAGTACAGTTCTTTTATTCCAAACTTAATGCTAACAAGCTCTACTCAAACTGTCCCCAGACTGAAGTGCATCTCTATAGATAGTAAGTACATTGCAAAGTTCCTGAACTTTAATAAAAATTTAACACATAATGGTTCTGATACAAGGAAGATGCTGGGTCTTGCTTTGTTAAATACATCTGAGGACCTGAGTTTGATCTGCCTGCCACCACCTCCCAAGTGCTAGGATTAAAGGTGTGCACCATTATGTCTGGTCCAGAGTATTTTTAAGGACTAATGTGGAGTCACCAGGATTTTCAGATATGACAGCAGTGAGTAAAGATGTGATGGCGCACTGAGAAGGCAGAGGCCTCAGAAAGTAGGCCTTTGTAAGAAGTGAGGAAGAAGCAGCTTAGCAAAGAAATGGGGAACTCATGGCTCTAAAGTAAGATGTGTGACAAAATGAACTCCCTTTAAGCAGGCTGCTCAGTCAGCAGGGTCACAAGAAACTGGCTATTTTTCCTTGCTGTTTTTAAGAATGACTTTCAAGTTTTCAATGTATATAACTCAATTTAGAATATTTTCATCCTCAAGCAAAAAAAAAACCATACCTGAAATTTGCTCCTTGTTTCTAATAGTACGTACTTCTGCCAACTATGAACATAATTTCCATTTCTATGGTTTTGCCTATTTGGAACATCTCACATTAGCTCATAGAACCAATGGCTTCCTGTGATACAGTTCTTTCACTTAGCAATTATAAGGTTCATTTAAGGTTGGAGTGTGTACCAACATTTCAATGATTTATTAATAATACTTCATTATAAAGATGTACCACATGATATAGATATTACTTTTGCACAATTATGAACATTCTACTATGAATAATATTCCTCTCCAAACTCTTTTTGTGGATATATGTATCCAGTTCTCTTAACTGTAAATCTATGGTAGAGCTAGAGAAAGAGCTCAGGGTTAAAAACTGTATTACTCTTGCAGATGATCTGAGTTGGATGTCCATCACCCATCCTGGGCAGCTCTCGACCACTTGTAACTCTAGCTCTAGGAAATCCAATGCCTCTGGCCCCCCTGGGCACCTGCATTCACAGGCACATACCCACACACATTAAAAAAAAAAAAAAAGACAAAAAAACCCAAAACTACAATAGTCTATTAGTACTGATGAAAATAGAATGTATCCTAACATGTGCTCTTAGCATCCTACAGGTGCTACTGATCACAGTATTCTGGGGGAAAAAAAAGAAATCTTGTAAATAAACTATTGCACTGAATATAGCCTCTCATTGCCTCAGCACTTCAAAATGAAATACCCAACATACCCATCAAATCTGAGACACATGTTACCAAAGACAGTAATGTAGTTTAAGTGAACAGAACATCACCTCTTTATCAGCCTTTGGGGTTACTTCTGGAACATGCCACTGGTGTGCAAATGCAGCAGAGTTCTGGATCACACACTCAGGATTTCTGGCAGACTGCCACTGCTTGTGCCTTCTTTCTGGAATCTCTGGTTCTTGACGAACTTTAGTTTCTGAAATTTTGTAATCAGTGAAAATTAGTATTTGATAATAATAATTAAGAACAGGTGTGGTGGCATCCACCTGCAGGCTCAGCGGTAAGAGAGGATCACTGGAACCAGGGAATCTGAAACCAGCTTGGGCAGTACAGCAAGACCCCACATCAAAACAAAATAAACCTCAAGTAAACAAGTAAGATTGAGCAATAGGAATGTCATATGCTTCATTTTTCCTCTGAAAATAACAGAAATTATTAAAAAGTGGAGGAAGGAAGGAGTCAGGCTTACAAACTGCAAAATACTACCTTCCCTAAATAGCTTTAAAAGTTTCACCAGAGAACATTCTAGACTTAAGTGCTTCGGGTTTTTATAAACAAAAAATATTAACTGATAAAAGACCTAAGAAATTACATCTAAATATAATTCATCCCTAAATGCCGTTTGCTAAACACCTGAAAAATCAGTATAGGCTGCTGTAATTAAAATATATATATACTCATATATATGAATGAGTAGCTCAGCAACAAAAGGCCATTTCATAAAATTCAGTGCTCAACCAACCACACAGGTATATACGAAAATATCAATAATCTAGGCTAAAAAGAGACGTTACAGAATCAGATAAAAAAAAAAAAAAGCAATAGAAACCTATGGCAGCTATCATTCCAAGAGTTAGGAAGTTCGCCTCCCATCACTCTTAGAAATCCTAACCTGACCTCTTAGAAGCTGGATAATAACAAAATGAAAAGGATTCTAAAGAAAAAGGACATACGATTTCCAAACATGATTGTGGACCTACCAACACTCACAAATTGGGCATTGTAGAACATGCCTGTATAATTCCAACCCTTAACAGGCTGAGGCAGGAGAACTATGAATATGAAGACAGCTGGGCAGCCTACAATAAGACCTGTCTCCAAAAAGAATAAATAAAGCCATCATCATACACACAAAATAGCCCTAAAGAATAAAGAAATTATTAGAACTGTTCAGTGAATTTATCAATGTCAATATATCTAAGTAAAAAAGCAAATCAAATTTATATACTAGCAATAAAGTTGAACACAAAAATTTTGTACAGCAAAGGGAACCCTTTATTATCACAACAACAAAAATAACAGCTATCATTGACTAAATCTACCGTAACATACACCAAAGCTCTAGAGAACAGGGTTCTTGGTTTAGTAAGTGACTAAACACATGCCAAGGCTGAAAGGCTGAAGATGACAATTTGTCTCAGATGTCTTGATAGGCTCAATTGCCTCTCAAATTTCAATTTTCCAAAGAATGAACACTGATACATAGAACCTAGCATTTTTATAGAAATTCAAAATCTTGACACTTTATTCTATCATATATATTTATGTTCATATCAAGTTCAAGCAAAATTGAACCTAAAGATGAAAGATAAAATGATTCCCTACAATCTGTAAATATGTTTAGGACACTCCCATAAACCTTGTTTAAAGTAACAGAAAGTAAAAAGGCAAAGACTAGGAAGTCAGAATGCACCGAAATTCAGAATTCTATTCATCAAATTAGCTGTATTACAGGAATATTTATTTGATAAAGGTGATTTTTCCTAGTCGTATCAAAAGATGACTAGAAAACATGAAATACAGTTTCCAAAAATACCAAGATTAGGAATCTGTTCCCAATCAATATCAAGACTATTATTATCAATAAAAGACTATTCTACAAAATGAAATACTACTTTCATTTTCAGAACAGAGGCTTTCCCAGGCAGTGGGCTTCCAGGATTAAAAACACGAAAGCACTGGGCAAACGCCAGAGCTAGCCTTACTTGGCTTCAGAGTCTCTCCTCAGGCGAGCATTGGCATACTCAAAATCACTGGATAAAAACCCCAATCCTCCCCTGAAAGCAGCTGCTTACTTTGAGGTCTAAAGCCACATGTGAGAAGTGTAGCATGTCACTCATGTCACTTCGCACTGCTACAGCAGTGGCCTTCCAGCCCCTCTTCTCTGATCTATCTTCCCTGTTTATCATTTATTCTGTAGCCTATGCTAGTCTCTCCAGCTGAGGGCTACCACTAGGAGCCCTCACTTAAATGCTAATGGATTTTCAAATTTCTTTTCTTTCAATTATTTTTCCGTACTTTCCTTAATCCAATGAGGTTCCTAAAAATTTCCCTCTCCAAAATTCTCAGAGTATTTTGCTTGCATCTCTCCTAACAATCTCCACATTTTAGCCTACATTAGGTATTACCTAATCTATGTACATCTCATAACTGTTTTGCAATTTTGGGACCTTGTTTCTAAAATTACTGGGTCTCTAGAAATTTATTATAGTACCTAGATAGCGGAAAACCTAAGTTTGATTTAAAATAAAAATGTAGACTGTAGATTGTGATATAGGAATTACTTTTTTGTTCTTTGGTGACAATAGCTGTCAAATCAACTAAAAATAACTCAGTTCCATTTATTGTCCCTCCTCTTTTTATGTGTCCTTTAAGAAAATGGCTTCCTCTCCTATAGGAGTCAATACTTTTCCGCATTCTATAAAAAAAATCAAAATGGAAAATAAAGGAAGAAAAATTTTAAATCATAATTAGGTCATTATCTGTTGTCTTAAGCTATGTGGATTTGTGTATGATTTGTGTGCACATTTGTGTGTGTGAGCACAAGAAGTCAGACAAAACACTCAGGTACCAGTTCTTGTTTCCATTTTGTTCTAGATAGAGTTTCTTGTTACATGCTGTGTACATCAGAAGAGAGGGCTTGTGAGCTTCTGGGGATTCTCCTGTCCCTGCCATCTTACCATAGAAGTGTTGGGGCTATAGACCTGACTACCGAGTTCAGCTTTATGTGGTAGATTTGAATTGGGGTCCTCATGAATGCATGGCAAGCACTTTACCCACAGAGTCATCTCAATGGGTATGCCCGTGTGTGTGTGTGTGTGTGTGTGTGTGTGTGTGTGTGTGTGTGTGTGTGT